GTGTGACCTTGGAAAGAAAGCAGTAGAGCGAAGAAAAGCATGGCGCGCAGAAGGGTGAAGGACGGCTGTCTATTGGGGAAGAATAGAAAAAAAAAGGGGCAGGGAAGGATATAGTAGTCATATAATAGTTGAGAGTTTTCTAGAATTGGTGAAAGATATAACCTTGTGGAACCTGGAAAAGAGTATCAAGGAGGGAAGAATATCCTAGAAAACCTTGGATTAAGAGAGAGCGCAAAGCCAGCAAAATTAATCAGAGACCAAAGAGGAGTGGAAAGGTTGCCCAAGAACATGCATTTGGACATGACCTGTGTGCCCTGAAGCAGTACAAGCAACCAACCACAACCACAACACAAAAACCACTACCATCCAGTCAATTGCTACTCACAGCTACCCTATAAAACAGAATAGACTCGCCCCTGGGGGTTTCCCAGTCCCAGGTTACAAAAATTTTTTAATATTTTTTCCAAGATAGATATTTCATTATTCTGGAAATCCATAACAACACCATAATTCAAAGGCATAAATTGTTATTTTAGCTTCCTTATTCATTGTCCATTTTACACTTTCATATGATGCAATTGAAAAAAACCATGACTTGGGCCAGACACGCCTTATTCCTCAAAGTATCACCTTTTTATTTTAACACTCTAAAGAGGTTCAGTGCAATATAACTTTTGATTTCTTGAACCCTTCTTTTATGAGCATTGATTGTGTATCCAAGTAAAATGAAATCCCTTTTCATATTTTTTCTACTTATCATTATGTTGTCTATTGGTCCAGGTATTTTTTTAAAATCATTTTATTGGGGGCTCGTACAGCCCTTAGTATCAGCTCCTCATTTATTCCCCTTCCTCCCTGTTCCCCCCTCCCTCATGAACCCCTGATAATTTATAAATTATTATTATTTTGTCATATCTTACACTGTCTGACATCTCCCTTCACCCACTTTTCTGTTGTTCATCCCCCAGGGAGAAGGTTATATGTAGATCCTTGTAATCGGTTCTCCCTTTCTACCCCACCCTCCCTGTACCCTCCCGGTATTTCCACTTTCACCACTAGTCCTGAGGGGTTCATCTGTCCTGGATTCCCTGTGGTTCCAGTTCCTATCTGTGCCAGTGTGCATCCCCTGTTCTAGCTGGATTTGTAAGGTAGAATTGGGATCATGATAGTGGGGAAGCTTTTATTAACTAGAGGAAAGTTATATGTTTCATCGTTGCTACACTGCACCCTGACTGGCTCGTCTTCTCCCCATGACCCTTCCATAAGGGAATATCCAGTTGCCTATATGGGTCTTGGGTCCCCAATCTGCACTCCCCATCATTCAGAATGATTTGATTATTTTTGTTCTTTGATGCCTGATATCCGATCCCTTCAAAATTCAAAATTCTGAATTTTGATCACATACACTGGTGTGCTTCTTCCATGTGGGCTTTTTGCTTCTGAACTAGATGGCCGCTGGTCTACCTTCAAGCCTTTAAGACCCTAGATGCTATATCTTTTGATAGCGAGCACCATCAGCTTTCTTCACCATATTTGTTTATGTGCCCATTTGTCTGCAGCAATCTTATCGGGAAGGTGCAGGCTACAAAATTTTATGGGAACAAAAATCATCATCTTTCTCCTAAGGGGAAGCTAGTTGGTTTAAATGACTGACCTTCAAGTTATCCACCTAAAGCCTGACCCAGCAAGTTATGGTGAACCAAGCACATGAGTAGAAACACACAATAAGATGGCTGTAGAGTTATTCTGATAACTAGTCTTTGGCCCTGTCCTTAACACTCATGTAGCCTATTGGTATGTCTAAAATAATCCAATAAATTATGATGCTGAATATTTTATACCATTTACATCCCTTATGATTCTGTAAATTGATTAATAAATAAATTACACATGATAATCGTAAAGATGAATAACATTTAGAAACTCAACCACATGACAAACTGTAATTCAAATCTTTGACCAGGAATAAAGTATGTGTTTTCTGGTCAATTCTGATACTGTGCGCTCCTGCTGACTTTGCTTGTATCAGTACACAAGGTTTCCTGAAACCACTTCCTGAGGATTGGAATGTTTCAGTTCATTCTATGGGTCAATTGTCTTATGGAGGGTGTACATATTTTCCTAGACCCTCTTGATTACCACATTTGATATCTCTTTCTTCCTCACTAATTCTCTTCCCTGATGACATGTCTAAATTAATCAAGGCAAATCTCTGGTCCTTCTTGTGTCTAACAAACATTTTGTATGTTATTTTTTTAACCATAGAAGGTGACTGAAAAAATCACAGCATGTCAGCAGGCACATGTCAATAATCAAAATGTCATGTCTACTTTTATAGTATTATATTATGGCAAACACCATGCTGAAATTAGTCATTTGGTACTTTGCCGCTTCAATAGATATTGATTGTTGATTCAAGTAAAATGAAATTATTGATGACTTTGATTTTTCCCCCTTTATTAGGATGTAGTTTATCCATCCAGTTGAGAGGAGTTTTCTTTTATGTTCACACACAAGACTGAAGGTTGTCTTCTTAGACCTTCATCAATAAGAGTTTCATCAATATGTGAAGAGGGTTGTACGATCTATTTATCATAGTTATTAAAGTGCTCTCCTCCAAGTGTCATGCCATGCTCTTCACAGAATGTCACAGTCCAGTTTCTCTGATAATATAATTCAGCATCTAGACTGAATCAATAAGTTGGATGGAGATAGCCTTATAGAATAACTTCTCAAATTTGAAGTCCCACCCCATTCCCTTTTTCTGTTTAAACAGTTGCCTCTTGATCTATGTATGGCTCCCATGAGAACACAATTATGATTATTAATTATCATAGTTATGGACAGCCACCAAATTGTAAAAAAAATAGTGAAGTAATTTTATAATAAAAATGAGAAAAAAATTAAGATGGTAGTATTTTGGTGTGTGTGTGTGTGTGATGAATTTTATTTTAAACTACAGGAAATATGCTAAATTGTAACATGCCCAGAGGCAGTCATCTGGGACATATTATTTATATTGAGTTGTCATTTCTAGGATTTCCTAAAAGGAAAGCAAAGTGGCGAAATAATTCTTCACTATGATCTCTGTATGTAATAAAATCACCTAGACATCCTATATCCATATAAAATTGGATGAAATATAATTCTCTATAATAGTGTATTTACAGATAGACATATATTTGAAAAAATATAAAAAATACATTATTCCATTTACAGGATAAGCAAATATTTCTCAGGATGAGCACAAAAAATCATAAACTAATAAATAAATTAAATAGTTAAAATTTGAAACATCTATTTATCAAAATATAGTGAAAAATAAATATCAAGCCACAGATCAGAGAGCAATATTTGCAATGTACATATTCACCAATAATTGAAATACAATATCAAAATTACTTAAGAACTTCTGCAACTCAATAATTAAGACTAACCAAATACTCTAATTAATATATGGACAAGTGATTTGAATTGATGTTTCCTAAAGCCATAGTAACAAATTCTTTAGGCACATGAAGCTGTCATCAATATCATCAGTCATCATCTAAATGAAAAAAAGAAATAATAAGCACAAGACATCAGTAAACAAAGACTAATATTAAAAGGAAAACCTGGTGATAATATTTGGAAAATTTAAAAAAGTACAAGCAGACCTGTAAATAATTGGAGTGCTAAAGAATAAGTCAAAAGCTACTGAAATTGTGGTTGAAAGTGCCAAGAGATCTCTTTATTTATATGAGGGGAAATTATAAGTCCCAACTTGTGTCTTCAGTGCATTGTCGCAAGGCAGCTACAACAAAACATTACACACACACACACACACACACACACAGACACAGAAAGTAACACTGTATATCTATCAATTGCTGGAAGGCTAAGAACAGCCGATCCACCAGAAGGACATGCATTAAGTGAGAATGCGATGCCCGGGAGAGAAAGAAAAGCAAGGACACACCGAGTCAAAGACACAGGCCCCAGAATGCAGCAAACTCTGCCGGCAGCAGCTCACATTCTGATCAAACAACAGATTTTGTATATAAACAGTGTGGAAGGGGCTGGAGGTTGCACGTTAGATTTGTTTTCCCAGACTTACAAACGAAATCCAGCTGTAACATGAGCAGCAACGCTTCTCTAAATACAAACCAAGCGCTACTTTAAGCAACTGTGTTGAGAGAGAAGCTATCAAATAGGTTGATTTGTAATATCTTTAACTTTTACCTGTAATCTGCTTAGAATATTTTAGATTAGCAGTTTAAATTAATATATTACAGAAAATTATTCGCAAAATTCTTATATTAAATGAAATCTGAATTTATGAATTGGATGAGTTTATTGATAATTTAAAAAAATAAATTTGTGCTAAAAGTAAAAATACTTCTTATTTTTGGAGAATCTATTTGTCAAGAAGAAATTCTGTAGAATCATTTAAAAATATTGTCAAGATATCAGATAATCCTCCAATTATTTTTAAAATCATCTAGAAAATAAATTGTTTACAAGAACATAATATAATTGTGCTAGGTGGTATATGAGTCAATTGTTCAGATATTTTATTTTTATGTAACTATACACATATAAATACATTCCACTAGCATGTGAATACTTTTAAACCTGTTTGAATATTGTTCTATCCTAAAAGTTTATGCATGCTACCAAAAGACCTACCTTGCTTGGGCTTTACCAAAAAATACACACACATAATAAATAAAGCATTAGGATAATTAATTTAAAAAACAAAAGTACCTTGAAGTGCTCTAAAATAATTCCTATTTAATTTAGGTTCACTTCTTTAAAAGATAGTATCAATGTACTAGTATTATTTACTCAGAGATAATGAGCTAATTTGCTTGTGTGATGACATATTTCTAAATGAACAGAAATTCTATGATGAATTCAATTTTATTTCACTTACACTACTAATGTTAAGTGTATCTTGAAAAACATATATTTACCCATAATATACCTTGCTTCCACTATTGCATTAGAAATACACTAACCTTGTTCTAAAGTTTGTAGGATGAGGATGTCCATCATATAAGGATAAGTAGTCATATTCTTCTTCTAAAGCAAATGATTGAAAGACAATTTGTATTCTATTTCGTTCTTCTGCTATTATTACCCACGTACAGTTTGCACCATTTGGATATCCATATGGAAAACCAGGGCTTTCAATAGTGCCATTAAGTCCTTTTAGTGTCCCACCACATGTATAAATAAATCCTGCAACAAAAGACAAATAAAAATATATTAATACTGTGAATATAGTATGTCAAACAAGCATAATTTTAGAGCTTTGTTTTTTACATGTATTGATTTTCTAAGATGCATATTTATTTATTAGTAAATTTATAAATTATAAATCCATATATGCTTACTTATTAGACCTATTTTTTTAAAAATAAGATACTAATAATTTCTATAATAATTCTTTATCATAAACATTGAAAGAGATCATTAAAAACCAGTTGATGAAATAAAATCCTGTATATACATCTGATTCATTATTAAATCCAAACGATAAACACAATTCTAGAACATGATGTGTACCCCAATGTTAACAAAAATCTAACTGTAGAAACACAAATAACATTAGCATGCATTTGGGGACCTCAAAATATAAATTATCTTTTTTCTTGGTAAGCCATGCTAATGCTTTTGGGGTTATCCACATTTCCAGCATGTAGCCCAACACCTTTGGGAAAACCAGTCACACATTTTTCAATATGGATTACAATTCAATGTAAAAACAAAATTCAAATCCAGACAACTAGATCAATAGTTAGCATCATGATTAATGGAGACCAGATTGGATTTTCAAAGATTTTGTCTTGCTTGGACCCACAATCAGTGCTTGTAGAAGGAGTCATTGGGAAACCAAGCCATGCATTGCATTGGGCAGCTCTACCGTACAAGACCTCTTTAAAGTCTTAAAGAGCCAGGAGGTAATTTTGAGAACTGAGATGCACAAGCCCAAGCCATGGTGTTTTCTGTAGCCTCGCATGCACGTGGAAGTTGGACAATACCTACGGAAGACCACACAACAACTGATGCTTTTGAGTTACGGTGTTGGCAAAGAATACTGAACATTCCGTGGACCGTCAGAGAACACACAGAGCTGGTTTGAATGCAGGACCACATGAATGCTCTTGGACACCAAGGATGGCAGACCTTTGTCCCACGTATTTGGAACATGTGATCAGGAGAGACCGGTCCTGTAAAACGGCATGATGCCCGCTCAAGAAGCAGGGCAGTGAAGAAGAGGAAGACCCTCAGGGAGATGCACTGGCACAGTGGCTGCAACGATAGGCTCCAATATAACAATTGTCAGGATGGCACAGGGCTGCACGGTGTTTCATTTTCTTGTGCACTGGGTCTCTTTGAGTTGGAACCAGTTTGGCAGCACCTAACAATACCGAGAAGCTCACTTTGGTTTCCAAGGCTGTTCATATTTAAGGTAGCAGGAAACCTCAACTTTCTTCCACAAAGCTGACAGTGAGTTCAAACTACTGACTTTGTGGTTAGCACACCAATGCATAACTATTGGGGCAATGATTTATTTAACGTGGCTCCTTCCTAAGTCTCTGTAACTCCTACCAAATGACCTTTCTTGTAGGGGTCTCGGTTTGAACCTGGGAAGACAGGGATAGGATTCACCAGCTAGTGAGTAATTGTTAACAGAATTCATTGTGATTGCCATCCTGCTGGAGATAAAATGAGCCTTCTGAGAAGCAGGAGGAAGAATTCTACCACCAGGAAGAACCAGGAAGGGAGTGCTCCCCCTGGACCCCGAAATCCCAGAACAGTGAACTCTCTGTTCACTTCCACAAGACAGCTTTGGCATCTGAGGTAGGTAGAGGAGCAGCAGCAATAGCAGAGGAAGAACACAGGGTGGTGGACTTGCCAGCCTGCCAGCCAATTAAAGCTGAGTGCTTTGGAGCAAGAGACTGGCTTGTGGAATGAGGTTTCTCTCAGCACTTAGTTGGGGAAGCTGGACCTGCTGACCCCCAGATGTGGAGCTAAGTGCCTTAAAGTTGACTGGAGTGGGATGCCTCTGGACACCTGATTGGGAACCTTGGATTTTTGACCCATGAAGCTTGAGCAGAATGCCTTTGGGTTGAGGATTACAGTGGAGTGGCATGCTCTTTGGGTATATATTAGCAGCTCTGAAAGAACTTTGTAACATATCCTGACTGAACAACTGTATCCTAAGCATTTCTCACCTGCATTATACATGCTAATTTCCTTAATAAACCCTTTAATTATGAGCATTGTCCATGAGTTCTCTTTGGCCGTGTCAATGAACTGTAATACCTACATATAAAATTAGTGACTGTTGTGTGAGACAGAACACAATACTTTCTTAAGCCACCAGGCTGCCCCACATGCTATGAAAGCTAGAAACCAGAGGAAGGTAGCCAAGCTACTAGAGGTTCAAATAAGAACTGTTACCCAGACATTATTATCCACAATGTCAAACCTCATGTGAAATTTATATGGTAGGAACCTATACCTCCTTTATAATAATTTTCCTGATTTCTCTGCCATGCACCAGACTTTTACACAATTCAGATATCTATTTTGATGTGCCAAAACATTGATGAGGCTACAGTGAAAACAAGAAAACTAAGAAAACCTTTTGCCATGCCAACTGTATCTGGAATAGATTGTCTAATTTTTTTGTACCGAAAATGAAATCACTCAGAGCCTTTAGTTTGTTTTGTGTTTGTTACTTAATAGTAAAGTATTCATGGTTGATATTTAAAACTTCAAAATTTATTGTCAATAAGTATGTGGCTGACATCAAATGTGGAATTAGTTCAACATTGTTATGGAGTGGGGCAGGAAGGACCTTTGTCGTCCTTCTCATAGACCCACTAAGCACCTGAGGGCGCTCACTATTCCATCTTGGGTCAGAACAATGTGCCCAAAGGGGCATACACTAGAAAAATCTGCTACGGAAAACTTAGAATATTGGCACAGGTAGACTATTGTCACCCTTCAGTGATTTTGAACAAGGAAAAAAACATTTAATTTTAAACTCACTAATACAGGATCTCTCCACCCCAGCCCCCACCCTCCCCCAACCCACACACCCTG